AATATTAAGATCGAAATATGTCGAATAGAACAAAAACAATATTTATATCAATCAACCAATATAATGTATTTACCTCTGTCATAAATCTACAATAAACTAATTTTTCTATTGGTTCAATATCCACAATGAATATCATTACTAAGCAACATACATTTGAAATGATAACTTCATTTTTAGAAGTTCTTTTTCGGTATTTCAAATAGAATTAGAAAGAAAAAAAAAAAAAAAAATAATTATTTATATTCAAATGCTGGTCAATATCTTCCTGCTGGTCATGCTAATCAACATACATTAGCAAGTGACGGTCCTGATCAGCGTTTCCAGTAGCAAGTGTACATCCTTTGTCTGTACATTTTGTACATTTTACGAAATAAAGAAAATCCTTTGTTTGTACGCTCTGAGTCACCGTTCCATTGGAAACACTGGTCCTGATAATTATTTAATGAATTTTTATATAACACAATATTCAAGTACTTATCGACCACCACGTATCCGAGCAAAATCAAATATTCTTGCAGATAGATCTTTAACAACAGAAAATCTTCTTACACAAAAATTAAAAGCTGATTACAATACTTGGGTAATATATTTTAATTCATATTTATGAAGAATAAAAAAAAAACATGCGAAGAGTTTCTTATGTTATTTTAATCAAAAATTTATTAGTATTGTGATTTTCTCCAGAATGATTTGACTTTTTCTGTTAGGTTTATTATGAAAGTTTTCATTGAAAATATGCAGTTTGCTTTAAAAATTTTTCCGTATATCTTTACTATTCAATTCTTTTTAAATGATAGGTCAATATACCGCATTTTTATTTATACAAGCAAACTTCAAAAGTACCCTTCAAAGCTATCAACTCTAATTGAAATATAAAAGCTTACTCCTTTTCTATATGTAGAAAGACATTATATAACAATTCTTTTTTTAATTGCTTCTTTTTCTTAGACGTTATTCACACGGCTACTGTCTGGATTTTTTTAATATAAGCACAGCTACCGTATATGGAGTCTAAATGATCTGTGTGCCATTTCGAAGTTGCAATGCACTTATAAAAAATTACTGTTTATGCTCCAGAGCTTCTTTTACCTCATTTTATAGGAAAAAAACAGAAATACTAAAATAAAATGATTTTTCAGCAACATAGAATATCAGTATATGACTCGAAGACAGTTCGCTTCTAGCTGACTGATAAGTTTAATGATCGATGGTTTAGAAGAGATGAA